ACTTAGAGCTACAACTAAATGGATGTGAAACTGCCTTTCTAAGAAATTTAGATGAAGAAGTTTATATGAATTAGCTTGAAGGTTTTTCAATTGAAGAAAATGAACACATGACGTGTAAGTAAGGCTGGGCAAAAGCCAACCGAAATCGCTTAACCCGACCAACCCAAACCAAACTGATCGGATTAGGTCGATTTTTTTAAGTTCAATTGGGTTGGGTTGGGTGAAAAATTGAATTTGAGATTGGATTGGGTTAGGTCTCAGGTTATGAATTAAAATCCAACACAACCCAATCTAACATGATGAATTAAAAAATTAATATCTAAGATGGAAAAATAATTTAAAAAGACACAAGTAAAAATAAGAGAATGCCATACAATTATAAATGTCCATTTTCTTCACATAGACCAATTTACTTGAACACTATGTACAAATGCAATGTTATTTGATGATAAAGTAAAAATTTAAAACATGATGACGAAATGAATGAATTCCAAAAAATTGTAAAAAAGAAAATTCTTCATAAATTTTAAACTTATTTATACATTATTTTTAGAAAAGATTCCTTGTATATGTGTTTAAAAGATGGAGGTGTTCAAATAATTTTCAACTCTAAAAAATTATCTAAATTTAACAAATAAATTGGATCCAACTATTAGCGGGCTAAAGTCCAAACCAACCAACCCAACCCAACCCAAATTTGATCAGTTTGGGTTGGGTTGGGTTTAAATCAATAATTGTGTTGGGTTGCATTGATTTTCGATCAAACCAACTATGTTGAGTTGGATTTGGGTTGAGGAAAAAATCGATCGAACCCATCCCACGCCCAACCCTATGTGTAAGTTAAAGAAATTAATATATGGACTTAAACAAACTTCCTGTCAATGGTATCTTAAGTTCAACGATACCATTACTTCTTTTGGATTTAGGGAAAACATCGTTGATCGATTTATTGCGTTTGCAAGTCTACCGAGTTGATGAAAAAAATTACTTTTATATTCTCTAATAACATAATTCTCCCTCTTCATACTTCTAGTTCACGAGATGAAAGAGAGGTTTTAGTCTAGCTTGCTCTTTGTGTGGTTTATTTGAGCTGCAATATTGAAAAGAGAATCTATAGTTGTGACTAACCTCTTGCGTCTCCATCAGTTCAAGTTGTTACTAGTTCGTCTTGGTCAATGCTTACTGCACTCTATGGGCATTACCTTACTGTTATTAGAGAAAAGCTCGTGTCTTTCCTTCTGTTTTTGCTTGTGCTTAGAAGGGTATCTATGAACACTGAAGGGGAATGCGTAAGCTTAGTTAAAAGGTAGTGTAGATCTCATTCTTATGCATGGTAACCTTTAGTTTTTATTTGTGTATAAGTGAAGATATTGGTCTGAATTAGATCTAATTTATATAAGGTAGGTTAGTTTATTTCAAATAAGGTTATTTCTTCAAGAACTGGGAGAAAAAACTGTCTGCCTCTTCAAATAAAAATAAGAAACGAAGAATGCTTCCTTCTTTCAACGACTATAACCAATTACTATTTCACGGGAATTTGTTGTGGCCACGAGAGTAATGCATGCTTTTGCTTGACCTCAAACTTTATTTGGATTTTATCTAGCAAGGCAAGGAAGTTTCTGAGGGGAACTATGGATTTTGTGGTCATTTGACAATGGTATGGTAACCTTGTAGATGTTGGATCCAAAATAAAGACATTATGGCCAGGTTTGGATTAATTGAAAGAGATGTTCATGGGCTTTATGATGCATAACATATTGGGACTCTGCTGCAATCCCTAGCTTTTTTGTTGGTACGCAGATATTGTTGTAAAGTTTCTCAAGTAGTGCTGGAAGTCATGCTTTATGCTGTGTAATCGCTGGTGCAATTAAAAATTAAAAAAAATGTAACAAGTCTTTGGAAGGATTCTTTTTTCAGTTCCTCTTCTATAGAGGGAATTTAGTAATGATGATATATCTGTTGCCTACAAAAGCTACCTCTACTTTAGATATATCGACTATAAACTGCAAATACTTTAGAGATATACAACATCAAATATAGATGATATGTTCTTGAGTTGCATATTGATTGAAAGTATACAGTGGGGGTTAGCTACCATTGTCCTTGTTGGGACACGGAAGCTCCAATAACACTCCTTGATTCCAAATTGAATTTCAAAGAACTAGATTATACGACAATATTGAAGTATACTCGATCACACATCAAAAAATAAGGTTTAGAAGTAAAGAAAAAATACAAAGGGTAAACGTAGAGGAACGGTGTTTATTAATTCAACAATATAGAGAATACAAAGCAATTTAGCAATTGGCTTCTATCTGTTACTCTCTACAAACTAACCAGATGAACTTTGTATTTATAGGTCAACCCTAGAAGAGTCCTAAAATGCAAGAAAATATATTACAATTAGGAGACCCAATTTCAACAGGATTTTGTCTCCTTTTATTGGATGCAATTAGATTCCCTTTCCAAATAAAAGTCTAACATGCATCTTCAAAAGACTCCTAATCGATTTCTAGGATTCCACTTAATCAAATTCTAAATCAACAATAATCCTAACACATTTGAGTCACCAAACCTAACAATCTCCATCTTGACTCAAATTCTGGTGCGACGAGAAACTCCTAGATTTCAAATCCTTTTGTATCGAAATTAACTGGTCGAATCTCCTCAACACAATAGCCACTCCATATAAACCAAACACTTATCCTTTGCCCGACGTCCACAACCGACACTCGAACCCAATCCCAGGGTTCCCAATTTCACCAAGAAACTAATGTTGATCACATAGGGTCGAAGCACACCCCGTAGCAAGAACCAAACCAGATGCTTGATCAGAAAACCCCTTACTAGAACTATGGCCTCCAACATCCCCAAACGCATCCCAAACATTGCTGACACTACGGTACCTACGCTCGATGAGTCTTACCTAGCAAAGAAACACAGTGTACCAACTGAAATTGGTGGCAAAGCGAAATCACCAACACTCTCCCTAGCAGTATTCTGAACCGACTCAGAGCCCAACCCAAGAGATATTGTACCAAATTGAACTTTCACCACAGTACTAAACTTATCTAAATATATTATAATAGATTCTACACTTCCCTCTAAAATGTACAACTGGGAGCTTTTCCACCCCTCCCGTACAACATGGACTCCCTTTCGGACCTTCAAGACTCCACCTCCTCCAAAGAATTTATATCCTTTTGCATCCAAGGTACTTCACGAAATGAAATTCTTTTTTAGGTCAGGAACACGTCGAACTCGATCAATTGTTCTAAATATTCCATCCAGCAGCCTCAATCTGACTCGATCAATCTGAGTAATACGGCAAGATTGGTTGTTTCCTATTACAACTCCACCTCGTTGAACAGCCTCATATGTTTTAAATAAATTCTTATCGGAACACATATGGTGCGAACCTGCTAAATCAAAAATCCACTCCTCGTCAGGCCTAAACTCCACATCGGATACCACGATCAGCATCACTTCTTCACCAGCAGAACAATTCTCAACTACATTGGTTTTGTCTAAATTCAAAGGTTGCACCCCACGATTTGTAGATAAATCACCTTTAGTCTGTAACATATCGCAATCCTTCCAAATATGTCCCTTCCTTTTGCAGTTAGTGAAGGCAATGGATCGAGCCGAGCCGACTTGGCCCTTTAACCCATGAGCTCGGCTCGTTGCTAGGGGGCGAGCTCGGCTCGACCCACGAACTCGTGGGCCGAGCCGAGGCCAAGAGTCTCTTGCAAGCTCATGTTTTTTTTTTGGCACATTTTTTGCACCTTTTTTTTTTTAAAAATTCATATTTTTGGACGAGCCGAGCTCGTGGGCTCGTCAAAATGGCTCCTGGGAGCCGACTTGGCCCTTTAACCCATGAGCTCGGCTCGTTGCTAGGGGGCGAGCTCGGCTCGACCCACGAACTCGTGGGCCGAGCCGAGGCCAAGAGTCTCTTGCAAGCTCATGTTTTTTTTTTGGCACATTTTTTGCACCTTTTTTTTTTTAAAAAAAATTCAATTTTTTGGGCTCGTGGGCTCAACTCATGGGATAGAGCCCCCTGCTCGGCTCGAGCTCGTCAAGCCACCCACGAGCCGAGTGATCGAGCCGACGAGCCGTTCGGCCCGTTTGACATCCCTATTTGCAGTGGTAACATGTCACATTGCTAAATCTGACTCTTGATCTACTTCTTCGTTGACCACATTGAGATACAAGAGCTTTCCCATCCTTTGATGTAACTCCAACAAAATGTTTCATCTTCTCCTTTGAGTACAAAGCATCTTAAACATTTTCTATAGTCAAAGTATCTCGACTATACAAGATAGTATCCCGAAATGACGCATAAGACCCAGACAGTGAACACAACAGGATCAAGACAAGATCCTCTTCATTGTACTTAACCTCCAACGTTTCCAGATCTGCAACTATTTTCTTGAACACGGCAACATGGTCTTCCAACGACTCTCCTTCCGCCATGCGATGTAAATACAACTTCTGCTTAAAAGTTAGTTTACTTGTAAGACTCTTAGTTATACACAACTGCTCCAACCTCAACTACAAAGCAACCATCGTTTTCTCTTTCAAGACATCCTGCAGAATGTTATTAGACAGATGAAGATGAATCAATGACGTAGCCTTTCGATTCTTCCGTTGTTTCTCCTCCGTTGTCCATCTAGCTGGCATCCTCTCAAAACCTAGCAACGCATCTTCGAAATCCAATTGCGCTAGAACAGCCCTCACTCTACTTGCCACAACGAAAACCTTGTATTACGATCTAATTTTGGAATATCATACTTCAACCCAACTATCTCGAAAAAATCTCAACCAATCTACGAAAAATCAACAGCTTAGCTCTGATACCGCTTGTTGGAGTGCGAAAGCTCCAATAACACTCGTTCATTCCAAATCGGATTTTAAAAAACTAGATTATATGACAATATTGAAAGTATACTAGATCATACACTGAAAAATAAGGTTTAGAAGTAAAGAAAAAACACAAAGAGTAAACGCAGAGAAACGATGTTTATTAATTCAACAATATGAGAAATACAAAGCAACTTAGTAATTGGCTTCTATTTGTTACTCTCTACAAACTGATCAAAGGAGCATTGTATTTATGGGTCAACCCTAGAAGAGTCCTAAAAGGTAAGAAAATATATTACAATTAGGAAACCCAATTTCAACAGGATTTTGTCTTCTTTTGTTTGATGCAATTAGATTCCCTTTCCAAGTAAAAGTCTAACACGCATCTTCAAAAGACTCCTCACCGATTTCTAGGATTCCACTTGATCAAATTCTAAATCAACAATAATCCTAACACATTTGAGTCACCAAACCTAACAGTCCTATCCAGTGATTGCTGGTTCTGCTATTATATTTCTTACTATTTCTCCCCCTTTAGAAATCACTGCCCTGAATCTTCTTCTCTACCCATGAAGGTGATAACACTGGACTCATTTTGCAATCTGTAGTTTTTGCGTGCTGATCATTTGCTACTGAGTTCCCCTGTTTCTCTATCTCTGCGGGATAAACTTTGACTCTCCATACCTTAAAAGTTTGATCTAGGCTGGCACTATATACTAACAACCCCATCACGATTTCCTCAGTTTCTAGAGCAGCAGCCAAGCACTTGACGGGTCCATGATGACCATCAATGACTGCTAGACATGAATGGAAGGAGTTCCCTTCTTCTCTCCTCCATATTCGAATGGTTGCATCTTCTGAACCACTGAGGATTAGATCTTTTATTGTTGTTAAACAGAGAACTGCAAAATGATGGCCTTGCAAGAATCCTCCATGATTATACCTACCAGACATTCTTTCCTTTTCCCAAAAGTTTATCAGTCCATCTGATGAGCCTGAATAGAGGATGCACTCGCCGGGGGAGAGAGATAAAGCTAAGGTATTCACTGGAGATGGTTGAAACTTAAGTGTCATGGTCAAAATATGTGAGCTTTCTCTGAAAACCCTTCTCCATATCTTCACAGCGCCATCAGAAGAACAAGTGAAGACACATCCATCTTCTTGGTTTAAGACAATTGCATTGACATGACCTTCATGAGCAACAAACGAGTCGACACATAACTTTTCTGAGATTCTCCACACTTTAACTGTTTTATCCCATGATCCTGTGTACAAGAGCTTCTCCTTGTGATTGTATGCTATGCATGAGATAGAATCTCTATGTCGCTGATTATTCTTCTTCTGATAGGAGAAGAATGATCTTCTTCGAGGCAACGTGATTGTCTTCTTTGGTCTAAAGTTTTCTGTCGATGAAACATCCCACACCCGGATTTTGTAATCTCCATGTGCTGTGAAAAGCATTTTCCCATAAGCTAAGATGGCTCGAATTTCACCACATGTAGCCTTGATATATCCCATCTCTGTACAATCTGGTTGTCTCCATGCATGGATCCTACTGCTTGCTGACCCAGTAAAAACGAAGTCCTTTGTGACCGCTATAGAGAAGATGTTACCTTCACTGCGATGGAGTGAAGCTAAGCAATGATACAAAAGAGGCGGGGATAAAGAGGCACGCACAGGAGAACGTGTCCATGGCGTCTCGGGACTAATAGGCCAAAGTGGGAATGAAGCAGCAGACACACAAGATGATCTTGCTGAAGCGAATTCGGTATCAACCTCATTGTTTCCAAATGAAAATCTTCGAGGTAAGTTTATATGTTTCCTTCCTTCATCTACCAAGTTCCAATGGGGACTTTCACCACCGAACTCCATGAAAATGTTGCAATATTTGTAAATGGTAATGAAAATATAACTTGGTTGCTTTATTGAGGAAAATCACTTTGACATGACGTCGAGGCATTTAATCAGGAGTTTATATGCTGATTTTTAGTAGGTAGGAAACCTTTAAGATAAGTCATGATACAGCTACCTTTTACAATTCACAGTGTGCAATGTAGAGAAATGGGATGTGTCATGTGTGTACTGACTTTTATATCAGTATCTTATGCCAGTAATATTCTTATGACATGGGCAGAGTGCATTAGGCACTGTAAGAATTGGAATAGCCAACCCAAGTGGTCCTGAAAACTTAATTGCTATAACTTTTATAGTTAATCACATTTCCTGTTTGTTGTTTCTTGATTTATTGGCATTAACAGAAGGTTGGTGATAGCAATTACTGCATTGCATGCTGGCGAAGAGCTGTAAGTACCATTCTGAATAATGTTTTGACCTACCATAGTTGGGCACATAAGTATTACATGCTTTGTTGTTCTAAGTTAGTCAGATCGTTTTGAGTTTAAATGTGAATTGTTCTATTTGAATTGGAAGGATTTTTGTACCACGAGAATATGCGGTTTACTGCTGAATCACTGATAATGGGGGAGTTGGAAGATGCTAATTTGAGACCGTTACTTCGAAGTTGTTGAATTTCGAAATTTGATGGAAGCAGGTCTAGAATAGTTTGTACTTGGAGTCGAAGAAAAAATTGATGTCATGCAAATAGACGAGGCAATCTTTCATGTATAGCGATAGGGCGTCTATGTGCTCAAGAGGTGAAGATTGGTGAAGTAATTCATTACAGTCATGCTATATGTACAATGATGATTGACAATGTTTGTTAACAATCATCATCATATTTATCCATTAAAAAAAATTAAAAACAGTTTTTTAAATCAACTGTACAGATTTTGCCACATCAAATATTGTCAACTATGATTGTACTAGTAAATTAATTCAATTCATCAGGATACCAGATACTTGATAGTCAGTTGGATTGGGATGTTAATAGGGTTCTATCTTGACAGGCAATTCCCATCCTTCTCTCCCCACACCAATGGTCCATTAACTAACGGCCATAAATTCTTTACTAGAAGATGGATTTTTTCAAGAATTATTTACCTGAAATTAAATTTCTTTAATTTAAGACAGAAAAATTAAAAGGGAGAAAAAATAGCTAGAGGAAAGTTGCCAACCCCAATTATTATTGATCCTATGAGAGAAAAGCTCACGTTAAGTCTGGATGAGCTATGTCCCGTTGATCTATGAATGTGTATACCATGCTTGTCATGGTTAGCAACACAGAGAAATAGGGGCGGAGACGATAGACATCAAGTGCATGTTCGAGATGCAATATTGCTTCTCTTATGTCCCTACATTTTATTTTAGTTTCTGGTTTTTGTTTTCATAATACTTTTTTTTTTCCCACTTTTTTGTCTATTATTTTCCTTTTTGTCCTTGTTCCCCTAATTCTAATTGGCAAAGCACACATATCAAACTGATGCAGCCCAATTTTAGCTCAAGTACATTGGATAAAAAGTGCAATAGTAAGATAATTATAATGCAATTATTAAGTAATCCAAACTATACTTTATAGAGTGGTTGATTATTATCGAAAAAATGGTCCAAACAGTGATTGATAATGACATGAATATTCCTAAAATTTACGAAAACTAAGAATTAGTTGGTAATATAACTTGCAAGTAATTGACTTAAATTTTAGGGTTAAATAAGGATATTTACTATAGTTTCTTCTATTTTTAATGGGTGATTATATTGCCACTACAATTTTTATTTCATACACCATACTTTCTTTAATTGTAGTTAAACTTCTCATTCTTTACTCATTCTAACAATTATTTCATTAAAAAATTTTCATTCGAATTCTTATATTTAACTTACTTTAATTAGTACATTTTGTACTTAATGATGATTTATAACCAAATATTTTAATTTCATGTTTTGAAATGAGGAAAAATATTTTTTCGCACTTTTTATTTATTTATTAATTAAAAATATGATTAAAAAATAAGATATTTTACATCATTTCAATGGACTTTTGAACATAAAGTTGTCATCAAATATAAAATGTTCTAACTAATGAAAAGTTTGATGATAAGAATGATAATAAAAATCGTTAGGGATTTAAATACTATAATGAGTAAAAATTATCACAAGTGTAAATAAACTGTGGTGCAAGAAATATAATTACCCATTTTTAATGAACTTGCTACCTAATTTACCCCACTCCTTCTCTGCGCCCACAAACCACCATAGGCCATGTGAGTGTGGGGATGGTTAATTTATGGTTTACGGTCCTATGTACATTTTTTGATGCTCCACTTGTAACTAGGCAATATTATTTCAGGCTATAATAGAATAGGCTGGGGTTTAACCGTTTAAGGGGCTAATTGATAATTTTAATATACATATTTTTAAAGGTCATTTTATCCCTTGTTTGATTCCTATATTTTAAGAATACATTTTTTCAAAATTTATTTTCAATCACATATTTTTCTATAAAATAATTATACAGGTATTTCAAGAACTTTTTCTTAATTTTTAACCGTACATTTTTCAAAAAATCACTATTTCATAATGCATTTTATCCCAAAAATAAGAATCAAATAGGAGTTATAATATACTTTTGAGTCTCTTAATCTTCGAATTATTTTTTCTAACCCACCAAAAGTGACTTGCCTCTATTATTTCAATTTTGGATGCATAATAATTTTCCTGCTTTTGCTTCATCCTAGTCTCAAACCTTGCTATAAAGTTGAATAAGCCTCCGTTTGGCCTTTATTTTTTTAATTTAAAGAATGAATGAAAATTTTTTTCTTTTTTCTTTTTTTTTGAAAAATGAGTGATTGAAAAAGATAGAAAAGTTTTCGATTTACGTGTAATATTATTTTATAAAAGATTTTATAATGGAAAAATGAGAAAAAAATAAAATTTAATTTAAATGAGAGCCAGACGAGGACTAAGTATGTACATTGTCAGGTGGCAACATTTTAAAATATGAAATACGTTAAAAAAATCTGAAAAATGAACCTGTTCAAGGTATTAGGTGAGCATTGGGTGATTTGATTCAGTTTTCTTACACTAAATTTATCACTTATAACATTTATTATTATACTGTCGCTGCCCATAAATACCACCATAAATGTCATCACCTTCAATATCAATTATCAAACTCCCTAAACGCACACAACGACATACAAATAAATTTGACACCGTCACCAATATTAGAACACCTCTCGTAACCACCGCAAAAAATATTTATTGCTGTTTAATCAATTTAGACATGTCTTTTTAGTGGCAAGACTTACATAAGACCATGCTAAAAATTAAATACAGAAATTTGGGAGATAGTAGTAAATGGCCAGCGTTTTTTGTTTTTAAATTAAATTACCACCTTTCAGAATGATTATCAAAAGGTTAAATGTATTCATAAGTAAAGTAAACTATAAATGCATGAAATATTCTTAACTTTGTTGTGAAAAAAGAAGAAAATAGAGAGAAATCAATAGATTTGTGTATATTTTATTAAGAATCAAAATTCGATATTTATAGGGCAGAATCAGATATATAACAATAATAATTTTTAGAATTATAGAGGTACAATTGTCATTCACTTATATATCCTAATAAACTTCCCTTTATAACACACCCCTTGAACGTCACATTACAAATATATGCCTCGTTAAAACCTTATTTGATAAAAATCCAATGGAAAAAAAAAATCAAATGAAAGAAAAAAAGTACAATTATTTTGAAATATTAAAAATAAATACAGTCTCATTAAAACCTTGTTAGAAAAATCTAGTGAGATAAAACATAAGCAAGGAAAAAGGGTACAGCTACTCTCATTGATGTTGATCACTGAAAATCTTTGAGTCGACGCATTCCAATCTTATGAACTAATTTCTTGAATATAGATGTCGACAGTGCTTTTGTGATTAAATTGGCTACGTTGTCACTTGAGCGAATTTATTGGATATTGATGTCGCAATTCTTTTGAAACTCATGTGTATGAAAGAATTTCGGAGAAATATAGCATTCTCTGAGTTGTGCAATACAAGTTGCATTGTTTTCATACAAAATTGTATGACTATCTTTTGTTGAAATTAACCCGCATGATATTTGGATATGATGGGTTATGTTTCTTAATCATACACATTCTCGACCTGCTTTATGGATTGTAATAATTTCAAAATGATTTGAGGATGTAGTTGTTAGGGATTTTTTTACAGATCTTTATGATATAGCTGTTCCTCCACGTGTCAACACATATCCTATTTTTTATTTAACTTTATGTGGATTAGATAGATAACATGCATCTGCATATTCCACTAAAGAAGATCCGGATTTTTTAGAATAAAATAATCAAAAATAAATAGTACCCTTTAGGTAATGAAAAATATGTTCAACACTATTTCAATGTCTTTGAGTTGGTGTAGAGTTATATCTTACAATGAGATTTACAGAAAAAGCTTTGTCGGGTTGTGTGCAGTTTGCAAAATAAGTTAATACTCTAATTGTACTAAGATATGATACTTTAGGATCAAGAACCTTTTCTCCATCTTCGAGTGGACGAAATGGATCATTTTTCATATCAAGTGATCAAATAACCATAGGTGAGGCCAATTGATGTGCATTATCCATATAAAACATTTTAAAACTTTTTCTGTATACGTAGATTGATAAACAAATGATCTATCTATGAAATGTTCAATCTACAATTCAAAAAAAAATTATTTTTTTGCAAATGATACAGCATGTAATATGGCATGACCCCAAATAGAAATTTAGAGTTTTGTTTTCTTAAGTAATGGTCTTAACAATAAATTGTAGCCGTTTAATAAACGACTATGTTAAACCATTTTGTGTATGGGCATGCGTAACTGAATGTTCAATTACAATCACAATTGACATACAATAATTATCGAATGCTTGTGAGTTAAATTCACTAGCATTTTCAAGGTGAATAGTCTTAATTGAGTAATCGGAAAATTGCGCTCATAATTTTATAATTTGTGCAAGTAGTCTAGCAAATGCTACATTCTTAATGAAAAGTAGGCAAACATATGACTATTTAGAAAAAGAATCAATTAATACCATAAAATAATGAAATGGTCACATGTTGGGTGTATTGACCCACATATATCTCCATGAATTCTTTCCAAAAAAGTTAAAGATTCAAAATTGACCTTTGTAGTCGAAAGTCTAATAACTAACTTGCTTTGTGAACAAACTACACATGGATAATCATTATATAAAAGAATCTTCTGGTTTTCTAAATGATGTCCATGTGAGTTGATAACTCTTGGATATCCAGGTTGATCATGTCAAAATATATAACTTTTTGAGTCAACGGACTTCTGATTCGTGAGATTATTTGATTCAACCATTTTTATAAATGTATGATACATGCCAAATAGGAGTGCATGAAATTTTCCTTTTATCTATTTCTGATTAGATACAAAAGAAGTTATACAAAGATATTCGACATTATTTCTTGCGTCATCTCAATATGATATCCATTGCATATGATATCTTTAAAACTAAGCAAATTTTTTTTGAATTTGCTAGAATAAAGTGTATCATCAATACATAATTTTGTATTATTTTGTAAAATAATACAAGCTCTTTTGAATTTTTCAAAGATATTTGATGCATCTGATATCGTATTAACATTATTTTCTTCTAATGTTAAATTCAAAATATATTTTTTTTGTCTTAAAGAGTAGTATATGTAGTTACACTATCAATCAAACAAATGTCTTGACAATCCATCATGA